AATGCAAGGTCATCTTGTGGGATTCCAGGGATAGAAGATAAGTCCAACTCCACAGTCCTCCACTGTGCTGCTGCTTCTGATAACTTGATTGTTGCAATGATTGTGGTTGAGGCAGGGGCTGACCTGGACGCTCAGGCCGATAGGCATGGGATACCGCTGCATTACGCGGTCATAAGAGACAGCAGGCGCATTTCCAAATTTTTAATAGATCAGGGAGCAGATTTGGGTGCTGTCGACAATGATGGAGAAGAGCAACCTCTCCACTATGCCGCGAAATATGGAAGGGTACAAATTGCCGCTTCTCTAGTCGTCGCGGGTGCCAACAAGAAGGCTACGAATCACTGGGAGAAAACGGCATGTTGGCGATGCCAACTGCGATGCCATTTTGACACAAAATGATGCCGTCACAGTGATTGCGATGGCATAAAAGCGGCTGTGATGGCATCAATTTGTGTCAAATGACATCGCCATTGGCATCGCAAACAGGCTGTTTTCTACTAGTGAATGTGGATGGTCAAACTTCAAGAGACATCGTTTGTTCACGTGTAGGCCCTGATGACCTCAAGTGCACGGTAGAAGAGGAGAGTGCGCTGAAGCAATTACTGAAGTAGCCAAGGAAGAGATTTTAAGAATACCTATCGTCGAAATTACACCTGTGGGAATAATGTCCATTACTGGTATCAATGAGGTACTGCACTTCCAGCAGTCAGCGGACACCTAAATAGTCGTACACAATTGGGGGTGATGATTTAAGATACGGTAACGCTTGTTTGATGCCTTCACAAATGTGCTGAAAATACAGCTGCATTCAACAAATGCACATGATTTAACACTTGTTTTCATTACACAGTGGTATCCCAACTGTTTCAACATGGTACAAACTATCAGTGATTGTGCTATTAATCCAATCGATCCTGGACTAATGGTAGTCAACTGCAGACTGGGAAGGGAAGGTCTGTGCGTATTAAGGAGATTGTATGGAAAAACTTTGACAGCCTGCAAATGCTGCATCTTGGATGAGAATTTCAGAGCCATACATGAACCATACCCAGCAGGGTAAGAAAATGCATATGAAGGCAAGGACGTTGACTGATCAGAGAGACGTTCCCTGTGGGGACCCCCATATCCATGGTATAGCAAATTCTACACAACGTTTTCGTTTCAACTGGGTGTCAGTTGTGTTTTCTGGGCGTACATGCGTTTGGTGCTAAGCAGCACTCCCAGTCTGGCATTCATAACCATTCCGAGTTTCTGGCATCGCAAACCACATTGTATTTTACCATTTCTGCAATTGGGGTGACGCCCAACGTCCTTTTTGCGGAAACGCAAAAATGACAAAACGACGTCCCTGGAAAAAATGCAGAATAGAAAAGGGTTACCAAAACTGACCGCAATATGTCTGGCGCATCTAACGGCTCTTGAGTCGGGTCGAGCACACGTGTGCTCTCGCGTGGCGGTGGGCGCTGGTAGGCGGCGCCATTCGCCAATGCTTGATAGGGTGAATGGGAACGCCACAGCCGGGCGCTATTGCTTCTGCAAACGCTTGAGCTATCCCTTTGTTGTCAGCACATGCACACCGCACAGGTAAGGGTGACGTCTTGGTCGTTCCCGTCCACAAGACTGCCCATGGCTGACAACATAACTAATCCTTGCTAACGATGTACTTCACTGATTTATGCTTGCATGGTCAATGAATCTTGGAAGATCCAAACAATGATTTTGAAAGAAAATGTCACTGACTGAAGCCTTGACTTTCAGTCGAATTCACTGAGACCGTTCCGCGTAATTTCCACAACTCTCGAAATCATCAATTTGAAGCGCTCTGTGCATGACATTGACTGAATTCGGCTGAACTTATGAATTCGGGGAAAAATGTGCTGGCGGAAATCAACAAAGCATAAGACAATGTGGTGATGATTAAAGCAAAAATACATAATGGCGCCTGGTCGACTCCTTTTTCGCGATTTGTGTACCAAACGTCTCACAGGCGCTTGCCACTATATTCAATAGATGTACACACTTCACGGCTGGTGTTGTCCACTGCGCAAAAATTCATTCGTCAAGAACTCATATTCAATTGGTTCGATGGGATAAAAGACTCTGTGCCCAATTTCCCTGAATGCAGCACTTTGTATGAAGGGGAAAGATCATGGCGACAGGAATGCAGAAAAAATATCCAACCACACTCGTTAATGTGCGATTTTTCCCGCGGTTGAGTCCACCCAATCCCTTTTCCAGTTACAAATCTCTTTGCACTTGTCATCATCTTCACTTCACCGGGGTGCTGCCGCTTCCGGCCGCCGTCCCGGGCCGAACACCTGAGAGTCTTCTTATTGCATTCGGTTCCCCAAAGTGGGCGGAACTCACGGAGTCACAGCGTCCGTGCCACGAGCCTGAAATAGCGCCGAAGCGGGCGCAGCACTACCCCAGGCCCGGGAACGTCTCCCGTTCAGCGGTGGCTTCTCCAGAAACCATTGCCGGAATCATCGCCAGGTTGCCATCTGGGCAGCTCACTGGGGTGATGGGCACACGTGTCAACGTCTGTTCGGTGGCAGCCGCTGCTTCTCGATTGGTGTTCTTGTTGGTTGGGCTCCACGGGATCGAAGGTATGCTGGGGGCACGGATCCGATGCCCACGGGTTCGCGATGCGAGCGTCTCCTGGGACAACGAAGCTGCACACAGCCAACCCCAGCCATAGCCTGAGAGCTGTCCCCGCCGCTCACCGCCGCAGAAAGCTTTTGATTTGGATCAACCACGCTCCCGGTACGATCCGGCTGTCGTTTTGGCGCATGGCACGCCGCATGGTGGCAACGCTTGGCTCAATCCGGCTTCCTGGCGTTGTGTGCTTGGGGCTGTTCGAGTTGCGCTGGGACGCTGTTGCGTTATTTCCCAAAGTGCGGAGAAAAACCTGATGTGATAATCATCAAAAGTTGAAAATATTCGCAAGACCCGCTTCTTGCTTTGGAGGGAAACAATCGCGGCTTTGCCAGTCGTCAGCGTGTGCTGGCCCAGTCTTGTCACCACGCTGAACAAAGACCATTCCAAGAACGTGGGTGTGCGAACAGGTCGGGCCTTGTGGACATTTGGCTAATGAATATCTATCTACGTGTCTTACGGCTGGCAGATTACTGGCTGTTATGCCGATGCAAGTACGCAGCAGCCAAGGTTTGCCATCAGCTGTTGTGATGTGTGCGGACTGGGGTGCACACGGCACCAGACTAGCCAGTTCACAGTGACCTTGTGGCTCAGGCTGTGCCTCTGGATACTTGTTCCAGCTGCTTGCTCTATCCTTGAGGCTGGGAGAGAGACAGTTGCAGAAATCAGACAATCTGCAGCCGCTGGCGTTCTGGGCCACCAGAGCCATTGAGGGTCAGACAGTTTGTCCCAAAGAAAATAACAATGGAAATTCCATGCAGGCGTCAAGCATATCAGGCAGCTTCAACAGGAAGGCCTTATTGGGGTAAGAGGATTTCTTGCTTCAAGAAGATGTGTTCAGTTCCCATATGGACATTGCCCTGAAATGGTGTGGTGGTGCCCTTTGCCCATCTTCTGAGCTGTTTGATCTCTATTTTGGACATTGTTACTGCACAATCTGCATGTGCAAAACGGTGTTGAACATGTGTGGATTGTGCAGAGAGGGAAAGATGCACCATGTGGCCGCTACCCGTACATGGTGTCACTGCAGACCAGACGGAACGTCCATAAGTGCGGTGGAGTGCTTGTGGATCCCCAATGGGTCTTGACAGCAGCCCACTGTGTTGATCCTAAAGAACCTTCATCACTGGGAGGGACACCTCTCATTGTCATTGGTGCATGTAATCTTGAGGACACCGAAAATGAGAACGGTGTTGTTGAGGTAGGGCAATGTTGGGAAGAGCCTGCTACCAGCTACCTGCCACAATATGCCAACCACTGCAATTTCAGTCACAGAGCTTCTGTGTTGTGGCAAGGCATATAAGATGTGTCAAATGATGCAGTTTGCGATTTGTTGGATGGATGTGTGTGGCTGTGCAGTAATTGCACATTCAAATAGAAAATATATTGTCACACATTGCCTTGTTCAAATACCATGATAGCCACCAGATATGGACAGATATGCAGCTGTGTTCTGGCAGCCTGCTACATGTTAGCTCACAATCAGCGCTGTTGCACAAATGGCAATTGACAAAGTCCACAATGGTGATACAGAAAGTGCTGCCCAGCGACACCATAATTCATGAAGATTGGACTGGCACAATAGAGGAAGGAAATGACATTGCATTATTGAGGCTGAAGACTGCATCCAAGCATATTCCTGGTGGTCTTCCCACAGTTATTCACTCCTTGTCCGGGGGCGAGCAGCTCTTGGCCCTGGGTTGGGGAAAACAAGAAAGTGGCACCACTCGAGACAGAAAACAGCTCCAGCAAGCCACGTCAATTGATTATCTTCAGAGCAAATTCTGCAACTCGAGCGAAGCTTGGGATGGCATCATACAGAAGACAATGCTGTGTGCCTTCAGTTTCAACGGCGTGGATGTCTGCCAAGGTAAATCAAATGTGCACCGATCACACAAATAGCATTTTTAACCATATTTACTCTCAGAACATCCCTCGTTGCTGAAGAGAGCACAAATTTAACGCAGTGCGAAATTCTGTTCGGTACATCCTATCTTTATTGAATTGGTTCTTTCACCAGGAAAAAAAGGGCCAAATAACACTTTTCCGAACACACATAAAACACATTTCATCATAGTTTTACACGCTAAGAACACAAAAATAACACAAACCCGTAAACTTTGTACACGTTTGAACACGTGTTATTTGGCCCTTTTTCTCCTAGTGTTTTTCATCATGCCAGAATGCCTATACACCGCAGCAGGTGTTGTCCATTATGGGCCGAAATGTCAGCAAGCATTTCACACATCAGTTGAACTTCTTTTGCTATCTTCTAGCACACCAGCCGCAACTATAGAAGCATCACACTGACAGAAACACTTGAGCTGCTACCAACATGTCAACAGGTGACAGCGGGGGACCACTGCTGCAAGCGGATGCGCCGCGTTTCGATCCGTCCAAGGGTGACCCTCAGTTGGACGTTGTCGTTGGGATCGTGTCATTTGGCGAATTTGCGGCGTGTGGAGAGTCCCGAAATCCGGACGTTTTCACAAGGCTCAGCAGCTTTCGTCCATGGATTGACAAGCACATAAGCGTGAGTCGCCATATCCTAAAACTAGTTTGTTCAAGTTTTCGTGCTGAGCAAACGTGTTGACGTCCGATGTCATGCGCTTAAACCCACCAGCAGACTTGATGCAAATGTGGTAACCACACGAGCTGTGCCCCCGCGCTGACTTGCACACCTTCTCCATGTCAGACCAGGACTTTATTTCCTTTTGCAGCGCCGTTTTCATGTCTACGTTTCCAGTAAAATGCATTTCCAGAGAACTACCCGTTTACAGCCATACTTGCGCACTCTTGCGGCTGTCGACACATCCATACAGCATTATGAAACTGCAAACAAAATAACAAGTCTCCCGCTCCCTCGAGCACCCCAAACACAGCGTCCACCTCGCCCTGGGAGAGGGCAACAACGTCGCCAAGCAAACGGCCGTCCTCTGCCCAATCTAACACATCTAGCTGGCACTCCCCGGATTACCTGATGCATTTGAGCTTCAACGCCAGGTAGATCATCACCATCATTCTGCCCTTCTTGGGCAGTATCTTGCCGCACAGCTGGCTTTGGTCCACCCGTAGTTACTTCACACCCGCTCGCATATACCAACTATGATGGGCTGCAACAACATGATGCATAGATGCATAGATGCATAGATGCATAGATGCATAGATGCATAGATGCGTAGATGCCGCTGATGCGGGGGGCATGGAGGAGCCGGCTCTACTCAGCTCGTTGGCAAGCAACATCGTTGGCTCTTGTAAAAACGCGCCTTGATTCTTGTCGATAGTGATCCATTCTATCAACACCTTGCAGTGCCCTTCGTCACTGACTGACAGGGCAGCTCAGGCTGTAGGTGTTTATACACCTACAGCCTATACATTGTGTGCAGCGCCCATTTTTGGGCAGTTGTACATGGATTTTGCGCATATAGACCTAAAGCTACTGCAACACTTGAGTATCCATAAATACGCACAAGTCCACATGTGTGCATGTAAGTACGCGGGTGCATACGCATAAACAACAAGCTGAGTTTTGGGTGCCGGTTGTCAATGTGGGCACGCTCTTCTTTCTGTGCACCATTTGTCTGCAAGCATGCTTGCTTTGATACAATATGTACCTTAGACAATGCCTTCTCAGCCAGCTTTCCTGTACTTAACCTGAGCCCTCGCTTCGGCTGTCTTTATGGTATAACCCCAGATGTGCAAGTTTAGAATAGCTTATATGCATCAAACCGCACATGTACATGTACACGTGTGAAGTAAATTCAACAGAGTTGTGGAGTTTATTAATGTGAACTCTCAGTGCTTGTGACCTTTTAACACAAAGTCCAAAAGACATTTGGTTCAAAAGTCAGGATACTCGCGCTCAGCTGCACCCTGTGTGCATATTTGTGGTGGCAGCCTTCGAATGCAGCCCCTGTCCCATTGGCACCACCAGCCCCTGCGTTTGGTGAAGCCGATTCAAGTGCCCCACCACCATCCCCATCAGTGCCGCCGCCAACGCAAGCTCCAATGCTGCCACTGCCGCAGGCCCCACCACCGACTTGGGTAAGGATTGTTAAGTTCTCGATTCGATTCATGCAGTCAAACCACCAGGCCAGTATGATTTAAGTCGATTCCTGATCTGCGCACCCGCAGTGTTAAACTTCCCTTCCTTGATATTGAGCAATCATTTAGATGCGAACACCATTTGGGACTCTACATCGCTTTGCACTCGATTGCTAGGCGACGCCAGGTACGCATATCATGTGTTTGGACGCGGGTGAAAACTGGAAACTAAGAAAAATATGTGATGTTTCAGAATGTAAACAAAGCTCTGCCACTTACCGTATTGCCGAGTTGCTCTCATGGACCATAAATTGTTCATACCCACGACGCATTTGCAACATCAATGGACCCCAATGGCGTTACCCGCAAACTTGCAAATATATAATTTCACTCAAAATTCAAATGTCCCTCAATGAGAAGTTTTGTTTCGTTGGATTTTGGGTAGCATTTGTCATGTGAAACTGACGCGAAAGTGCTTGATGCTCATTTGACTTGATGAAAACATAGAAGAATGGTGGTGTGCTCATCCCATATGCTCAGCCGCATATCGGGACAACAAAGTATGCAACAGAGCAAATTGAAACATTGACACGTTGCACTACAGGCTGTAGTCTACAGCATCCAAAAATTCAACATTTGTAGGATATCTGATGCACAGAGAATATTGAAGAGAATATGCGTGCCATGCTTGAGAGTTCCTTGTAGGAATCCTGAGGGGATGCTAGATTTTGGATTGCGTAACCATGTAAAACTGTCAGTCCATATGTGCGGGCGGACAGCTCGTTGCTAAGTTGGGCAGCTGAATTGGTACCAAAAATGGTTCGGTGAACAATTGAAAACGATCATGTCGTTGGTGTTTGCAGTTGATCTTAGAGTCGCACTTGCAAAACAACTCATATGCAGAAATGTGAATTACAGGGGTGTAAAGATGTTCATGTGCCACAGGCGCCTTTGGCTAACTAGTGGCCAAGTGGGGACGAAGGTGGCAAATTTGCTACTATATTGACTGGAGACTTGTCGATATTCCGAATGGGTGTGAATACCACATTCCTGAATGGAAACTCGGTCAACCATCATTGAATGAAAGATGGCGTTGCGTTTGCTTCAGAACGTACTTACCAGCTTCTTCCGAATGCATCCAGATACATTTGATTTTCTGTGGTGCTCATAGGGTGCTCCGTCACCAACGTCAGCACCAGAACTAGCACCACTTGATGAGGTAACGCTACACCGCAGATGAGCTAGACGCCAGCATTTAATGAGCCTGCTGATTTGGCTCAACATGAAATGGCAGGAATGAGCATGCATCTAACATGTTGCTGAAATATTTAATCAGAACAACGCAACGACTTTCTTTGATTGGGCTTTTTTGCAACATCTAATTTTGTCCTGGCTAATGTAGCGCTCCTTGGCATCATTAATCTCATGCAACAGATGATATCTAATAATAACTCCCAATTTTACAAATTGTGATGCGGAATCAAGTGCGGTTTCGACATGTGTCAGTATGCGAAGTAAGTTCATTGTGCAGTAATTTTACAGAATGTAACCAATAGTGAAGAATGTGGTAAATTGAGTACATGCTTGCACAGGAGCTCCTGAAATTGGCCGATTCTCCTGAAAACGCTTCGACAGCGACTTTGGCTATGGAGCTACTGTCCCAGGGCGCCAATCCAAATGCAAGGTCATCTTGCGGATTTCCTGTCATAGGAGGCGATCGCAATGCCACAGTTCTCCACTGTGCCGCGGCTTCTGATAACTTGATAGTCGCAATGGCGTTGGTCCAGGTAGGGGCAGATGTGGACGCTCAGGCCGATAGGCATGGGACACCTTTGCACTATGCGGCCATGAGAGACAGCAGCCGCACCACAGAATTCCTAATAGATGAGGGAGCAGATGTTAGTGCCGTTGACACCAAGGCCGAAGATCAGCCTCTTCATGTTGCTGCTATGTTTGGCAGCTTAGATATAGCAACGTCCCTTGTCATGGCAGGTGCCAACAAGCAGGCCATGAATAAGTATGGCCAAATGCCGAGTGATGTCATATGTTGGTACTCAGCAATAGGAATTGACAATCGTACATGCACAGCCTCAGAAGAAAGGGCACTTAAGGGATTGCTGATGTAATACAAGCCTGCTCCCTGCACTTTGTGAACACTCGACAGTGCTTTCGTCATGTGCTTCGACGGGTCTCCTGCGATCAGCAGCACAACTGGGGTGGGAGGCAAGGTTCGCTTATGTTCACTGTCAGAAACATACCTAGATTTAAATCTTGTGTATATCTTATGAATCTTATGTATCTTATGAATCAAGCATACCCAATTCAAATCTTGTGTATTTTATGTGCCTTATATGAACTACTTCCTCCGTCCAATATTAAATGGCCTCTATTTAAAAGATGAATTTCGTTACCTAAACCGCTTCAAAAGCACAAATAAAGGTCAGAATCGAAAACATTGGGTCCCAAAAGCCTTGGCAACTAATTTTTGTGGAAAAACACTCATCCCCACTACTTTTGATGGCCCCCTGAAATTGCCTGATTTGTGTGGTATTATTCTTACATTCAGGTTCATAGAGGTTTCATGGGAGCGGCAAACCAAAAGTTAATTGTTACCAATTATTGTGAAACTGGGATCCTCGGCCTGGCGGGCAGGATGGGATGAGGACGTTGGACGCCCCGATGCGGGAGGAAAAAGAGCGAAACTTCGGCTGTGCCGCTCAAAGCAGACTCTGTGCGTGTTATTGTTCTAGGGCTGTGCTGTAACTTTCCTCTAATATAGCACCTCGGTTGATCTTTGGATCGAGGCCTTCGTGTGTGGCTGGGCCCACATTCCCAAAATCGGCATTAACAACCAACTGGTATGTGCATCCGCAACCCTTCCCAATCTGCATAGTTTCTATTTGTCTAAGAGACACAAAATGATCTATCTGACCGTTTGCTTCACGTTCAACCTTTTAATTGTTGTGGCAAGTGTAGACTTTGCCATCCCCCAATCCACGCCATTCACCCAATTGTCTGCTGTTGATTAAGGTGATGGCAATCACATTCCTTCGCACCTCTTCAAGGGGCTAGGGAGGGCTTGCGCGGTATCTCTCACAACAACGATGGAGTTCCAAAGGTCACGGCCCAGAAAACTGGACCGGGAATGCATCCTCAAACTGGACAATCGATCTCGAATTAGGTTAGCAAAATACGACGACTTCAGACAAACTACAACGTTCGCGAGTTCCGGGACTTTGACCAGCATGTTGTCCTGCGCACTGCTCCTCCACCATCACGGTTGTTTGGCGGTTTCGGCGCAAAGGGTCACCGCAAATCTTCCAATACTTGGATTGATGCCTGACTCATTTATGCTTCCAGGCACCAAACAGAAACCCACCAGCCACTGCTTTTTTAAAAATGAAGCATTTGTGATGGAGATATAGGGCGGAAAAATCATAGAAGACAAATAATCTTAGACAAAAGAATTAATTTGTTTGCATAAGGTTGCCTAAATCGCACTTGCCTGTGTATGTGAGTTCGAAGACACCCCTTGAATTTATGGGGCCTTGTGAACCAAATTCATGAGTTTGGGGGATTCTCCCCATCGCATCTGGTTGAGACCCGATCCAGAACAATCTAGGGACCAATAGGGTGAAGCAAATGAGCTTGAAGATTGGGATCTAGTTCTCCACTGCTAGAGCCTCACAAATGCTCCAAAGCTTACAATCCCTTGCTTTCCTTTTCCCTACCATAGAAATGCATTTGATTGGTTCAAGTAGGTGCCTATTGGCGTTGTCCCCCCTTGGCCACGTCCAAATACCCTGGCCCACGTGCTAGGGCCTCTCCAGTAGAAGTGTGGTCGTCCTCAGCTGGATGGCGTGTCCCGGGCTCTCTCCGGCCCGTGGGTGACGGCTGCTCTGCGTGGTCTCGTCTGAGGTGCGCGGCTGCTGTGCTCGAGGAGGCAGGGAGGCTCCTGAACAATCGATTTCTACAACATGGCGTGGCCATGCACGCTCTTACATCCCAGGGCACACAATTCCATTATAGTCCATTAAACTCATTAATCTCTTGATCTCCAGTGGCCGGGGGCTCTACCCCTGGACCCCCCCGTCTTGCGAGGTCCCGTAGGGGGCCGGAGCTCGGCCGAGTAGAGCAGTAGACACAATCCTAAGAACAATTCGCCTAACCAACTACACAACATTACCACAATGCCTTTTCTAGCACAGTGCTTGTGTAGATGTGCCAAATCAGCTATCCAACATTGCCATTGTCCCTAAGTTGGTGCTTACACCCACCAAGTTGTTGGTGTTATTGCCTATGGAGACTTACTATATCTAGCATGGGGCACATACTTGCAATGCAATTGTTCCATATAAATGTTTAAATGTCAAATATCTACTTATGGGCATAGTAAACTTGACTATCGGAATCCAAGCTTGTTGTTTATGCTGCAATAATTTTATTTTATATTTTTATGTCTAAAACTACTTTTTACGTTGTTGCTTGCAAGAAAGCGTAGATCCCCATGAATACAACATAAACACAACCCCATCTATATGAATATCACATATAGATGTGCTAGAGTGGGTAGAATACGAAATTTTATTTGACCACATCATTGCCCTTGTTGAATGCAAGATGGATGCTATGTAGCATGTGGTTGAGGG